TTTCCCCCAAATTTCCGCCATTTTCCCCCCAAATTTTCCTATATTTCCCCCAAATTTCCGCCATTTTCCCCCCAATAATCCAAATTTCCCTCCAAATTTCCGCCATTTTCTCCCCAAATTTTCCTATATTTCCCCCAAATTTCCGCCATTTCCCCAAAATTTCCGCCATTTTCCCCCCAATAATCCAAATTTTCCCCCCAAATTTCCGCCATTTTTGCCCCAAATTTTCCTATATTTCCCCCAAATTTCCGCCATTTTCCCCCCAAATTTTCCCATATTAAAAAAATCCCAATTTTCCCGATTTTCCCCCCAAAAAATCCTCGATTTCCCCAGGTCCCGGCGCGCCGCCGCCGCCGCCGGAGCTGTCGCTTCGTCCGCCGTCCCGCCACGACTTCCGGGGCCCTTCCCGCAACTCCACCCTCCTGTGCCAAATCCGCGGCCGCCGCCTCGGCGCCGACGCCATCCGCTGGTTCCGCGACGGCGCCCCGGTGAGCGCCGGCGTCGCCGCCGAGCCGCCCCGGACATCCGGCGGCGTCGCGGTGGCCGGCAGCCGCCTGGAGGTGACGGAAGCCGAGTGGGAGAGCGGCGCCGTCTTCTCCTGCCAGGCCGGCGACGAGATGAGGAACACCAGCAAGACGTTGGAGTGCGGCTGTGAGTGGTTTCGGGGGGAAGAACGGACGGGTTTGGGGCTTGGGCGGCGTTTCGGGGCGGGATTCCGGTGGGAGTGGGGGGGGAAGTGGGGTTGGGTTGGTTGAGTTCATTGAGTTGGGTTGGGTTGGGTTGGGTTGGGTTGGGTCAGGTTGGGTTGAGTTCATTGAGTTGGGTTGGGTTGGATTGACTTCATTGAGTTGGGTTGGGTTGAGTTGGGTTGGGTTGAGTTCATTGAGTTGGGTTGAGTTGGGTTGAGTTGGGTTGGGTTGAGTTCATTGAGTTGAGTTGGGTTGGGTTGAGTTGGGTTGAGTTTGTTGAGTTGGGTTGGGTTGAGTTGGGTTGAGTTGAGTTCATTGAGTTGGGTTGAGTTGAGTTGGGTTGCGTTGAGTTGGGTTGAGTTGGGTTGGGTTCCTTGAGTTGGGTTGGGTTGGATTGACTTCATTGAGTTAAGTTGGGTTGGATTGGGTTGGGTTGGATGAGTTGAGTTGGGTTGGGTTGGGTTGAGTTCGGTTGAGTTGTTTGGGTTTGGTTCGGTTGGGTCACCAATTATCATTTTGGCCGAAAACAACCCAAAAAAACCACCGAGACTCTTCCAGTTGACCAACCCCAACAAAAATGACAATTTTGACCGAAAACCACCCAAAAAACCCCCAAAAACTCTTCCAGTTGACCAATCCCAAAATGAATGATCATTTCAGGTCAAAACCACCCAAAAAAACCACCGAGACTCTTCCAGTTGACCAATGCCCAACCCCAACGATAATTTTGGCTTAAAACCACCCAAAAAAACCCCAAAAACTCTTCCAGTTGACCGCTCATGGTGGAAACCGCCCAAAACCACCATGGAGACTCTTCCAGTTGACCAATGCCCAACCCCAACGCCAGTTCTGGGTCAAAACCACCCAAAATCATCACCAAGATTCTTCCAGTTGACCAATCCCAACAAAAACGATAATTTTGGGTGGAAAAGACCCCAAAACAACTCCGAAAACTCTTCCGGCTGACCCCCCCCAAACCTCTCCCCCCCCAGATGACCAACCCCTGCCCGACGGCGACATCCGGGTGGAGGCGCTGCCGCCGCCCTTCGCCGAACTCTTCCACGACCGCGCGGCGCGGCTCCGGTGCCGCGTGACCAACCTGCCGGCGGCCGCCGAGGGCCTGGAGGTGACGTGGCTGAAGGAGGACGGCGAGGCCCTGGCCACCGAAACCTCGGCGCCGGCGCCGGGGCCCGACGGGCTCCTGGCGGCCGAGGGCGTGGCCCGGGTGGGCGCCGAGCTCTGGGAGTCCGGCCGGGCCTTCACGTGCCGCGTGGCGCACCCGGAGCTGCTCTTCCCCAAGGAGGTGACGCTGAGGAAGAGCTTGGGTGAGTGGGGTTGGGTTGGGTTGGGTTGGGTTGGGTTCATTGAGTTGGGTTGAGTTGGGTTGGGTTGAGGTGGGTTGAGTTGAGTTCATTGAGTTGGGTTGAGTTGGGTTGGGTTGGGTTGGGTTGAGTTGGGTTGAGTTGACTTGGGTTGGGTTGAGTTGGGTTGGGTTGGATGAGTTGGGTTGGGTTGGGTTGGTTGGGTTGGGTTGGTTGGGTGGGGTTGAGTTGAGTTGAGTTGGGTTGAGTTCATTGGGTTGAGTTCATTGGGTTGAGTTGGGTTGAGTTGACTTGGGTTGGGTTGGGTTGAGTTGGATTGGGTTGAGTTGAGTTGGGTTGGGTTCATTGAGTTGAGTTGGGTTGGATTGGATTGGATTGGATTGGGTTGGGTTGGGTTGGGTTGGTTGGGTTGAGTTGAGTTGGGTTGGGTTCATTGGGTTGAGTTTGGTTGAGTTGGGTTGAGTTGACTTGGGTGGGTTGGGTTGGGTTGGTTGGATTGGCTTGAGTTCGATTGAAATTCCAGAATTTCAAGCCAAACCCCCAAAAACCCCTAAAATTCCCCCAAAAAAACCCCAAATAACCCCAAAACTGCCATAAATTCCCTCTAAACACCCCAAAATTCCCCAAAAAATCCAAAATTCCCCAAAAAAATCCAGAATCTCCTCAAAATCCCCAAAATTCTCCCCAAATTTCTCCTCAAAATCCCCAAATTCCCCAAATTTCACCCCAAAAGATTTTCCAGTGACCTCCCCCTCGCCACCCTCGCTCTACCAGTCCCAAAACCCCCAAAAATGCCCCCAAATTCCCCATAAATCACACCAAAACCCCCAAAATCTCCCCAAAACCCCTAAAATTTGACCCACAATACCCCTAAATTTCGACCCAAAACCCCTAAAACTTGACTGAAGAAACGCTAAAACTCGACCCAAAAAACCCCTAAAATTCGACCCAAAAAACCCTAAAATTTCCCCAAAACCCCTAAAATTCCACCCACAAAACCCCTAAAATTCAACCCAAAGAAACCCTAAAATTTCCCCAAAACCCCAAAAATCTCCCCAAAACCCCTAAAATTCCACCCACAAAACCCCTAAAATTCGACCCAAAAAAAACCCTAAAATTCGACCCAAAACACCCCTAAAATTTCCCCAAATACCCTATAATTCCACCCAAAAACCTCCTAAAATTTCCCCCAAAAACCCTAATATTCTACTGAAAAAAAACCCTAAAATTTCCCCAAAACCCCTAAAATTCCACCCAAAAAACCTCTAAAATTCCACCCAAAACACCCCTAAAATTCGACCCAAAACCCCCTAAAATTCGACCCAAAAAACCCCTAAAATTCTACCCAAAAAACCCTAAAATTTCCCCAAAAACCCTAATATTCTACTCAAAAAAACCCCTAAAATTTCCCCAAAACCCCTAAAATTCTACCCAAAAAAACCCTAAAATTCGACCCAAAAAACCCCTAAAATTCGACCCAAAAAACCCTAAAATTTCCCCAAAACCCCTAATATTCCACCCAAAAAACCTCTAAAATTCCACCCAAAAAAACCCTAAAATTCGCCCCCAAACACCCCAAAACCCCAACACCACGCCCCAAAAACCGGGAATTTCGCCACAAACCCCCCAAAAACCCCAAAACCGCCAAACCTCACCCCAAAAATCCGTTTTTTTTTCAGTGACCTCCCCCTCGCCGCCCTCCCTCTACCAGTCCCAAAACCCCCCAAAATGCCCCCAAATTCCCCATAAATCACACCAAAACCCCCCAAAATCTCCCCAAAACCCCTAAAACTCGACCCAAAAAACCCTAACATTCAACCCAAAACACCCCTAAAATTCGACCCAAAAAACCCTAAAATTTCCCCAAAACTCCTAAAATTCGACCCAAAACCCCCCTAAAATTTCCCCCAAAAACCCTAATATTCTACTCAAAAAACCCCTAAAACTCCACCCAAAAAAACCCTAAAATCCAACCCAAACCACCCCCAAAACCCTTCCCAAAAACCCTAAAACTCGACCAAAAAAAACCCTAAAATTCAACCCAAAACCCTTCCGAAAACCCAACACCACACCCCAAAACCCCCGAAATTTCACCCCAAACCCCCCAAAAACCCCCAAAACCCCCAAAACCCCCAAAACCCCCAAACCTCACCCCAAAAATCCCTTTTTTTCCAGTGACCTCCCCCTCTCCGCCCTCCCTCTACCAGTCCCAAAAGCTCCCAAAATCCCCAAAATCCCCCGAAAAACCCCATAAATTTCCCCAACAACCCCATAAATTCTCCTAAAACCCCTAAAATTTCCCCAAAACCCCTAAAATTCTACCCAAAACCCCCCTAAAATTCGACCCAAAAAAACCCCTAAAATTCAACCCCAAAAAAACCTTAAAATTCCACCCAGAACACCCCTAAAATTTCCCCAAAAACCCTAAAACTTGACCGAAGAAACGCTAAAACTCGACCCAAAAAACCAATAATAAATACCCTAAAATTCGACCCAAAAACCCCCTAAAATTTCCCCCAAAAACCCTAATATTCTACTCAAAAAAACCCCTAAAATTTCCCCAAATACCCTAATATTCCACCCAAAAAACCTCTAAAATTCCACCCAAAAAAACCCTAAAATTCAACCCAAAACCCTTCCCAAAACCCCAACACCACACCCCAAAAACCGGGAATTTCGCCCCAAAAACCCCCCAAAACCCCCCAAACCCCCCCAAAACCCCAAAACCCCCAAACCTCACCCCAAAAATCCCTTTTTTTTCAGTG